GTGAGTCTATAAAGCTCAAGGCACCACGCACTCAGTCCAACAAAAACAGAACCCCAGATCCAAGCGCTCTCCTCTCTCTCTCTCTCTCTCTCTCTCTCTCTATGAGAAATAATCTTTTCTGTTCTGTAATAATTTTTAGATGTCTTTTATTTATTTGAGAACTTGAAAATACATGTTGCTGTGTACAAAATCCCTAGAGCAGTGTTGGCGAACCTATGACACGCGTGTCAGAGGTGACACGCGAACTCATTTTTTTGGTTGATTTTTCTTTGTTAAATGGCATTTAAATATATAAAATAAATATCAAAAAATATAAGTCTTTGTTTTACTATGGTTGCAAATATCAAAAAATTTCTATATGTGACACGGCACCAGAGTTAAGAAGTTAGGATTCAAAATGCTGACACACCGAGCTCAAAAGGTTCGCCATCACTACCCTATACCCTCCAGAACCTGTGAATAATAAATCTTTTTTTTTCTTCAAAGCACCCCGACGGTTGTTGCTGAGGTGTCTTACAATCATAATAAGAACCATAAGGCCCAGTCCAGCCACAGCACTGACTCCAGGTGGGGAATGTGTGTGGGGGCTGCCATAAGCAGTGCAGGCCCAGGTGGGGGCTGCAGGCGTTCCAGCTGACAGCATCGCCATCCATAGGCTGAGACCGGCACGGCACGGGTGTCCACGTGCATGCCTGAGAGGCACCTCACAGTGCAGGAGAAAAACGAAAATGGGGATCCCCACCACTCACTCCCATGTCTGTCGGAGAGAATGTCTCAGTAGATCCAGCATCCTAAATGCCAACCTGATGTTTTCCATCATCATCATGAGACTGTATTTGTTAAGTTAACCTAATGTAGTTCATTTACCAGTCTTCTATATTGGTTTATGAGTTTTAAATATGTAGGTAAATGATATGTGGGCATACATTTATATTACTACTCCAGCTCCACCAGTTAGGGATAGTTCTAAGTATTTAAAAAAAATGGCAAAAATTAAAAATATCAAAAGGTGGCTCTGTAACTCTTTAATATCATCCCTGTTCTTTATGCTGGGTTTTATACCAACCACACACACACACACACATACCTCCAATATGAATTATGAAAAATAATATAAATGCAGCCGCTTCAAAATGGGGTTGGAGCTGCCATCCAAGAGGAACTGGCTTGCAAGTCTGACTCCTCAAATCTTTGGAATGTTAAAAATGAACAAAATAACCTTTGGACTGGGCCTGAAAGCAGGACTATACTCCAAATAACTGTTTGCAAAAATAACTAAGAGCAGATATGAAAATTAAAGACACTCTTTAGAACTGGCATCACTATGTTAGTTTATCTGCACCTACAGAAATTCCTTCCTTCTACTCATGTTATTGTTCCCCTTCCCTTTCTCATAAGAACCCCTTGCCTTCCCCTCCTAAGAGAAACACAATTTGGATTTCTGCCTGAATAAATACTTCCTGAATAGCTATTCTTTTGAATCTCAAATAAATGCTTGTTGCTCTTCACCTCGGCCTTTTACTTTTAGGTTAACATATCATATCTACATATATAAAAGGCTAAGCGACCATCCAACCAGCCGGTAGGTATGATGCGCACTGACCACCCGGGGGCAGACGCTCAACACAGGAGCTGCCGAGCTGCAGTGACTTGGCAGTGGTGGTCCTTGGGTGACACACCCGGGAACCAGAGAGGAGAGAGCCCGATTCCAGGGTGCGTCACCTGAGAACCGCCCTCTCGCAATCCGAGACCCCTTAGGGGATGTCAGAGAGCCAGTTTTGGCCTGATCCTCACAGGCCAGGCCGAGGGACCCTACCTGCCAGAGAGACCCTGCTCACTCCACAGATGCCCTTCGAGCCACATGGTGCTACTCTAGCTGCAGTCGACCGGGGAGGGACCACAGGAGGTTGGCTCTAGGGTGTGTCCAGCCAGTCTCACCCAGTTCCACCCCTGGCCACCTTCCAGCTAATTTCCTTTCAATGTGCACAAATCTGTGCACCAGGGCACTAGTGTAAACACAATCCGATATGGCTGCAACTCTAATGTTCCTGACCAAGGCATTACTGATATCCAGTGAAGATATATAGTACACCTCCAATAAAAACGTACATGCTGGAAGCAAAAAACAAACAAACAAAAACCCCTTAGTATATGGTATAACTATGTGAAAAATGCCAGTGCTTTCAGACCACAGTCTGCACTGACTTTACTGCACACCAAAGTGAGCGTGACAAAAGTGTGAGGTAGCGTCCACCGAGACCTTGCCTAGGCACTGCCTGGGATCCCCAGCATTTAAAGAGGTAACCCTAATGCCACTAAACTCCACCCAAGCAGACACTTCGCATAATCCTCAGTATAATCCACGTGCATCCTCTTCCCAATGCCCTGAACCAAGGATGTCTTCTCAGTGCTGCTGCCCTTCTTTTCAAACCTTTCACTCAGTTCTCTAGATATTTATCCCACTATTTTTTAAAGTCCCTACATCCTCCACCTCCTCAGAGAATACCCCTTCACCTGCCTGGTCCTAACTAGAATCTGGCACCATCTACAGGACAACACATGCACTGCAGTCCTTTCAGCCTCAAAGAATGAATGAATTTTTCTAAACCCTATTGTTACTTCTAGGATACATCACTTCCACTTGCACATTAAAAACCTTTCCTCCTTGACAAAGAGATTCTAAAATCTATCATTTCTACCTTCCTTTCCAGCCACTCTTCCCTCTTCACTCTCCCTCCCTACTAACCCATAAGCCCATATACTAGTGCTATTATTCAAAATGTTGTCTACAGACCACCTACTTTTTGAAACTGGTTCATAAAGAAATAACTACGGAAACTGAAAGTAAACATTTAGAATTTTACTACAATTTGACATAAGTGAACTTCTCTGTAAACTTCTTGGTCTTTTTTTAGCAAAATTGTTGCCCAAACTTTTTTTTTAATGTTTTTATTGATTTCAGATAAGAAGGGAGAGGAAGAGAGAGATAGAAAGATCAATGATGAGAGAGAATCATCGATGGGTTGCCTCCTGCATACCCCCAACCAGGAATCGAGCCCACAACCTGGGCACGTGCCCTTGACCAGAACCGACCCTAGGGCCCTTCAGTCCGCAGTCCGATGCTCTATCCACTGAGCAAAACCAGCTAGGGCTTGTTGCCCAAACTTTAATGTGTACATAAATAACTTGGGGAATCTTGTTTAAAAATGTGGGTTTAGTAGTCTGGGATGGGGCCTGAGATTCTGCATTTCCAAGGAGCTCCAAATGATAATGATGCGCTAGTTTACAAGCCCATTCTGAATAGTGAGGCTTCAAACAACTTAATTAGGAGGTTTTCTCCAACGAGCCTTGCTATTTAATATGCTTGTATTTAGCTATTGTTTCTCAATTTCACAAACCAAACCTCTGCACTTACCATTGCCTCTGTTTAGAGTCACCGCTACTTACAGGCTGTGCAACCTTGGGAAAGTTAATTAACCTCACTGTGCTGTAATTTCCTCATCTTTAAATGGCGATTAATAATCCTAAATACCTCATAGGATTGTTGTGAGGCTCAAATGGGTTAATTAATGTAAACTTAGCATAATGCTTGGCTGTACTAGCCATTTTAGTTTTTTAAATTTTTATTCTTGCCTTATTCACTTAAAGTCTTGTTCAAGTATCACTTCTTTGAAGCTATTTTGACATCTTTCCATGCCAGAAAGAGGGAGCCACTCATGTTGTTGTGTTCTTACTATACTTTATAATCTAACTCTACTGCTGTATAATTATTTACATGTTTCTCATAACCAACTGTGCACATCTTGAGAGCAAAAATTTCCTTCATCCATTTGTGTATCCTTAAGACATAGCATGTTGATTGGCAAATTTTTTAAAACTGACTGAATTTTGTCCTGGCTGGTGTTGCTCAGTCCTTAGAGCATCGGCCTGCACACTGAAGGGATACAGGTTCCATTCCTGGTCAAGGGCACGTAAGTACCTGGGTTGCAGGCTTGATCCCCAGCCTGGATCAGGAGCGCATGTGGGAGGTAACCAATCCATGTTTCTCTCTCTCTCTCACCCCACCTTCCTACCTTCCACTATCTCTAAAAATCAATGGGAAAAATATCCTCGGGTGAGGATTAACAAAAAACAAACAAACAAACAAAACAACTGACTGAATTTTGATGTGAATTATTATGAATAACCTTATAGAGCTTTCTAGGCTACAGTAGGAACAAGAGTTATAAAATATTATCATGAAAACCATGAAATGTCATTATATTTTGTCGGAAAATTTTTCTCATGAAGAATCATTTTAAACCACTTATCTACGTCTTTGAACTTAGATTTCTGTGACAATTACCAATCACTTATTTTTTGGTGAGAAAAAGGAGAGGAAAGGAAATTTGAGAGCTATTTTTAACAAGAAGTCTCTGGGGGTGCTAATTTAAATGCATAAATCTTGAAATTAAATTTTGTAGATGTTTTCTCCATTTTATACATTTTATCAATATATAATATAAAATCTGACTAAAAATATACTCTAGCATAGATAAAAGGAAACACAATCCGGCAAATAATCCGATGTGCTCCTTTCTAAGGACCTTTATTTTTATTTATTTAATTTTTTTAAGGTCCTTTATTTTTGAAATAAATGTAGACAAATACTCATTTTTGAAGGAAATACACCCTCTGAGTAATATTTAGGGAAAAGCATAAAGCTCTGTCCCCCTCCTCTGCCCTTCGGAAATACACTACACGCTCTAGAAACTAGTTTTCTAGGAGACGAGGGGAGAGGTTATGAAATAAGATTCACTGGAGAGAAGCCATGTAAGACTACTTTCCCAAGAACTGCCTGCACATGTTTCTGAATGTTTCATTATGGCGTCTTGCCTTGTCCTCTGCCCCAGCAGTGGAAAATGGTACAGGTAGATTCATTTAGAAAAGAAAGGATAATCCACATTTTTATGTTCTTTATGCCTAAGGCTTTTCCAGCTTGGAAGCCTGCCTTTCCTTACCTCTGTTTTTCAGTGGAGGCAACGTAGGGTGTAGATCTTTATTACATTCATTGCGTTCTGTGCAGCATTCAATTGATCTCCTTTGGTGAGGAATGGGAGTGTCCTAAAATTAAACCCAAAAAGCTATTAGTGGGTGTTCCCTAAATTTTATAGGCACATAACCTCAAACTTAAGAAATTAAGACTATTTAGGTAACTTACTTGAAATTCTTGCACAAACATGTTGAAAATATTCTTTTCTTTTAGGTCATTTCTTTTAAATTATCATGTATTACCTTACTGCAATGTCTGCATTTCAACAAAATTACTACTACATTTGTAATAACCGGTGTGCACAGTGTAAGAGGACGAAGAAAGCTAGGCATAATGCAGTTAACTAAATTGGAAGGTCTAATGAGACACTAAGCCAGAAATTAACAGCAAAAATAAACATCATATTTCATTTCAAAATGAAGGGAGAATTGGCCCAATGAAAATGCTCAAATTATTTTCCAAATCACTAAAAATAGGCTAATGAAACAAACAAACAAACAAACACCCCCACACAATTGCTTTCTCTTATTGAAACTTGACTGTTTGAAATCTAGTGGAATCAAGTTTCTTCCTTACCCGGCACTGAAAATCTGAGCCTTCTAGTCCCAGACATCCCGACGTGATCACAGGCATCCCAGAATCATCTTCTTCTATCATCGTGAAGCAATATCCATCTGTGCTAAAGACCAAACAGGCAAGGAGTGTGAGTGTAGGGGTGTGTGTGTGTGTGTGTGTGTAGGGGAAAAAGAAGATGCTCATCATTTGTTTCATTAAAGTCAAGAAGTTCAATGATCATTACAAGTTACAGTCTGTTGAGAGAGTCCCGAAACTTCCTTTCATGGAACTTGACTTAATTATCAATAAATATTTTGTAATAGTTCCTCTGTAGAGAAAACTGAGAAAGAAGTAGCCAAAATTTCCATATCACATGTACAATTAATAACCACATATACCAATTACTAAACACTTATTTTGTTCCTTGGCAAGAGATTTCTCTTTTTTAAACAATATATATATTCTTTTATTTCAGAGAGAAAGGAAGAGGGAGAGAGAGAGATAGAAATCATTGATCAGATGCCTCCTGCACAGGGATCGAGCCTGCAACCCGGGCAAGTGCCCTGACTGGGAATTGAACCCAGGACCCTTCAGTCTGCAGGCCAATGCTTTATCCACTGAGCCAAAACCAGCTAGGATAGATCTCTCTCTCTCTCTCTCTCTCTCTCTCTCTCTCTCTCTCTCAATAGATTTCAGAAAGGAAGGGAGAGGGATATAGAGATAGAAAACATCAATGATGATAGAGAATCATTGATTGCTACCTCCTGCCCCCAGAACAAAACAACTCTGAGGAAGGTGGCACTATTCTTACCTTCTATATAGGAAACCGAGGCTCAGAGAACTTGAGTAATTTCTCAAAGGCCTACAGCTAGTGAGAGTATGCACAGCAGAGGTTTGAACCCACGCAGGTGAATGTCTATGCTGGCTCTCCTTGTTCTGAGGCTGTGAAATAAACCCACCTCTTACCAAGGCGCACAAACTAAACTAAGGAGGGGTAGAGTTGGGATCAGCACAGCAGACGTGAGCTAAGATTCTGCCTTTTGGTACTTGTGCTTCGGGGCTGGCCTGTCAGATGAAAACATCAGGTTTTGTTTTCAGCAGTCTGGACTTACATTGGAAGTGGGGTAAAGTTGGACAATGAAATGAAGGGGTTTTAACAAGATCATTATTAATGGTTTTTCAGCTCATGGCACACAAAACTAATTACAAAAATTCTGCAACATGCCAAAAAATACAGTTTTTGCTGATCTGACAAAACCAAACAAACTGTAATTTTGAGTCATTCACACCGAACAGCTATTGTTGTGTTGGCTGTTGTAATTTTTTTTAAAATCTAATAATCTAGGGGAAAAGAGGTCAGGGCCCTTGACTAAATAGTCAGGTAACACGTGTTTTAAAAATTCCTGCGGCACACCAGTGTGCCTCTTGCAGTACATCGTTGAAAATCGCGGGCCTAGAAATTTTTTTTTAAATTTAATAATCTAAGGGAAAAGAGGTCAGGGCCCTTGACTAAATAGTCAGGTAACACGTGTTTTAAAAATTCCTGCGGCACACCAGTGTGCCTCTTGCAGTACATCGTTGAAAATCGCGGGCCTAGAAAGTAAAGAAACAATATATTCTTTTTCTGTATGGGTTTTTACATTAAAAAGAACTTTCACTTATTCTATCACATTTAGTCCTCTCAACAACAATGAGAAGTGGTTATTTCTATTTCACTGACGAGGAATTTAAAGCTATGAAAGTCTAATAAGCAAACAGTTACAGAATCAGGCTTTTCATCAAGAATCTCTTGCTTCTTTCCCACACATTTTTCCACTGTCCCCTCCTGGGACTAAAAATGGAAAACAAGAACTGTTATATATAGAAATATTTATAAACAAACATTTCTGTCTTCACGAGTTTGTGCGAGGCATGCCAGCAGACTCCCAAGATAAGTCATAGACCCCTGCTGCGTGAGCTACGAAATAAAGGCCTGAACTCTGTCCCCATCTTTTCCTCATGTACATGCATGCTCAGTGTCCAAGACAGACATGACAGCACAGTCCTCAAAGGTCGGGGAGGCAAGCTCTGAGCATGCTATTAGCCATGGTTTCTGGGTTGGTCTGTTCTGTGTTGGTGGCAGCAGCATTCTGCCACACCTTCGCCCTTCGGTTATCATCAACACCCTTAGTATTGCTTACTTGGCTTATTAGCCTCGAGTGATCCAAAATACCTCAGTTTATGAAAACTAGCAGAGCCAAGTTCCAACATACTAATAAATGGCTGGGGAGGGCCAGTGATAAATCTCCCTTTTTTAGACCAAGGTCAAATGCATGAATATTGTTGTGGAAGAAAGACTTCCTCTGAACAGCCCATGCTTAAATTTATTTGGGGCATTTTAGCCCATACACTGACATTGCTTTGACAATCTAAAGCATGTAAATACTGAAGGCGATAAATACAAGAGCTGTCCCTTAGAAATTTACTGTAAACAATATAAGCAAACAATACCCATGTGTGTGTGTTTATTCCTTTCCTACACATTTAGATTATGTGTGTAACTTCCATTTCTCATTGAAAGTAAAATTCAGGAATTTTCAGAAATAGTCATCTTAATTTTCTGACCGTAGGAATTCATAGAGACTAGAAAAGCTGATTCAGTATGTTAAATCCAAAAAGACCAATTTCTTCTTAATCATGAGTGCCCCTTGCTCAAAATCTGAATACATGGAAATGCACTTTTAAGTATCTTATAAGAATCAAGAATGAGAATAGAAAAAGCTGGTAAACCTGTTGGCAAGTTACTGTTACAGTATCCTAGGAAATATAAAGAAACATCAGCGAGGGTAATTTTAAGCTTTAAAAACACACTACCGGCCAGCCAATGTTGCTCAGTGCTTAAGCATCAACCCATGTACCAGGAGGTCGCCAGTTCAATTCCCAGTCAGGACACATGTTTGGGTTTCAGGCTTGATCCCCAGCAGGGGGCGTGCAGGAGGCAGAAACTGATCATGTTTCTCTCTCATCAATGTTTCTCTCTCTCTCTTTTTTCTTTTCCCTCAAAAATCAATAAAATTATGTTAAAAAACACATTCCCTTGTCTGCAAAGAAGGGTGGAAATCCCATATAATAAAAGGCTAATATGCAAATTGACTGAACGACGGAACAACTGAACAACCGGTCACTATGACAAGCGCTGACCACCACATGCGTGTGCGGAACATGGCGGGCACTGGCTGCAGCAGGATGGTGGAGCAGGTGAGCAGGGGGCACCAGACCAAGGCGGGGCGCCAGTTGCTGCCATTGGGGCAAGCCTCTGGTGGTTACTGAAAATTCTTTGCTCCTGTGCACCGCAGTCCCGCCCGGCGCTCGCAACTGCTGTCAGCGCTGGCCCCACTCGTACCCACTGCCAGCGCCGGCCCTGCTTGCACCCGCTGCTGGTGCCTGGCACCAGTCCCGATCACTCTAGCGCTGGCCCCACTCGTACCTACTGCCAGCACCGGCCCTGCTTGCACCCGCTGCTGGTGCCTGGCACCAGTCCCGATCACTCAGTGCCATCAGCGGGTGCAAGCATTGGCTGCCGGCCCTGATCGCCCCTGAGGGCTTCTCCACCTCCCCCTGCTCCTGAGGGGCCACTTGCACCCACTGCTGGTACCGGCCCCAATCGCTCCATGCCATCAGCGGGTGTGAGCGGGGCTGGCTGCCATCAGCATGTGGGAATGGCAGTGGCAGGAGGGGGTGCTGCCAGAAGACAGGGGATGGGGGGGGGGCGCTACGG